GTCTTGCAGGGGCCCTACATTGCCTGGTGCCCTCTCCTTGCTCCCAATGCACTTGAACAAGGACTTTTTGTTGTCCTTAATCCTGGACACTAGCCTGAATTCCATTTCTGCCTTGGCCTTCCTAGTAGCCCTCCTACACTCCCAGGCCGAGGAGGAGTACTCCTCCTTGGTGATAGCTCCTCCCTTCCACTGGTTGTACTCAGCTGTACACTGGTTGACTAACCAGTGGACTGGTTAGTCCTCAAACATTGCTGAATGCCCTTGCTGAGCCAAGGGGGTTTCTGAGCACTCTTACCCCCGCTTGTTTCTCTCAGGGACTGTTATCCTTTGGGCCTGGAGGATTGTCCCGTTAAGGTACGACCATCCCTCGTGGACTCCCATCTCCTCTACCTTCTGGGCCCTCAGTGCCTCCCCCATTAGTCTTCTAAGCTCAATTAAGTTGGCCCTTCTGAAGTCAAGGGCTTTAGTCTTGGTGTGAGCCCTAGACGCCCTGCATTGGATAGTGAAATCCAGCAGGTGATGATCGCTATCACCCAGGTGGTCAAGGACCTGCAGTCCCCTCACCAGGTCATCCCCCGTGGCCAGGACCAGGTCCAGCAAGGAGTTACCCCTAGTGGCTGATTGTCTGTATTGATTATATCCTCTCCTTAGTCTCTGCTTTTGTAGGTGTTAATTGATGGTAATTAACTGGCTACATTAGCTAAGTACTGTGTATTGAGCTGGTCCCTGAGTGAATCATGATTGATTGGTAACTGGTAACACAGTAGCTTAGCAGCCAGGCCTGCTGTAGTGTCTCCCCTCCCTGCACCAAGACAGAGACAGTCAGTTGCACAAAAGTGCAGACAGTCAGAAGCACCCATGGCACGAGTTTTGCCTGTCAGCAGTTAGGGGTGCAGGGCCCCAGAACCCCCCTGCACCAATCTCCGTGACAGCTGGAAGGCTTCATGGATGCAGCAGGGGCCACCATGCCTGCAGCTTTCACCCCGCTGCGCCTTAACACACGGTGTCACCCATATCAAGAGTTTTGCTTGTCCTCAGCTTGAGGTGCAGTTCCCCCCAAACCTCTGCACCAATATTCTTGAAACTTGGCAGGCTTTGTGGCCTCAGTAAGAGCTACCTTCCCTCCAGTTTTGACCCCCCTGTGGTGTGACACACAGCCGTGACATGAGTTTGGCTTTCAAGAATTTGGGGTACAGTTCCCTCCAAACTCCTGCACCGATTGCCTTGAAGCTTGCCAGGTTTCATGCTCTCGGCAGAGGCTACCATCCCTGCAAGTTTCATCCAAACTGGACAAGAAACAACAAAGTTATAGATATTTTGTTTCCCCATTATACCCTATAGCCGGATCTCCGAGGCAGCTCCAAAGCACTTCGGGAAGCCGAACAAGGCCAGCGCTTCGACCCGGATGTGTTGCCTTGGACCCTGAAGCATTCAAAGCTTCTCTGGATCCCAAGCTCGCTCTGAAGCCTCGCACAGCCCTGCTGTTCGGTTACAGCTGCAGAGCACTGTCTGCAGTCCTACCATGCAACAACGGTAACTTCTGTACCCTGCCTCAGATTCCATGTCCAGATACAGCATTGAGGACGGCGTACCTGGTGGAGCAGTACAGCAATTCCGGGGTTAACCTAGGCATTTCAGCGACTTGGAGCAGACTAGAAATCTTAGATTAACTTGTCTAAAATGTCACTTTTCATTAAGGTGAAAGATTGCCAAATAGCATTATAGCAAAGGCCTTCCTTTTGGGATTATGGGATTGACAGCTTTCTTACTCTGATCTGGTTTGAGACAGGTTCTTAACCTGGTAAAGGGAAATTATTCTCCTGAACAAGAAAGATGACAAATAATGACTAGTAATCTCAGCAATACAGGCACTATCAAAGAGACACGTTGCTCAGAGTGGAACTTTTGGAGACGCCGAACGTCATGTGGGAATGCATGAAAAAAATCTTGTTAAACTCCCTTTGTGTTAGCTTGTTGGGCATCTGGAACTGGATACAGATCTTCTGGAGAAAAAATGGTCTGTTGACTCTATCAATGCTTTCAGTGGTAACTGGATGCCTCCTGGGATTTTTGTTAAGGGCTTTGGAGCTAACAGAACTGGTAAGTAGGAAAAATGTGGTGTGCATGCAGAAAATATTAGGGGAAGGAGGGGAAAGAGGTGAAATTTCTCTGTATTGTTAAATGGTATATTGGTGGTCGTGTTTATTTTATATAAAATGGAAATGCATTGGAAACTAGCTAATCTGCACTTGATTAAACCTTGCATTATAATTTGTACAGAAAAAAAAGCACTTGTGCATTTCATCCACACTTCCCTGCAAAACTGGTATTAGAGGTAGCACCTTATAGGACTCTGTTAGGACTAATGCAATTTGGTTTTCCCCAAACGTACTATAGCACAAAGTATTAGCAAAAATAATTCTGAGTAAACTACAATTGCCACAAAAGCACCAGTTTTTAGTGATGAATCTTCCAAGTAGCTTTAATGTCTAGCTTCTTGTTGATTTACAAGAAGCATTTAACCTTTAATCCCAGTGAGGCAGGTCCTGCCTCTTACTCCACCACAGAAATATCCCTGGTAATGGATCAAGATACCCCCATTGCACAAGGAGGAAACCAGAGTTTGGTGACCAGTCCCAACCATCATGGCATGAAGCCCAGCTCTGCAAAGACTCTCTGTTTTGCAGTGTTTAGGTCAGGGGTGGGCAAAATGTGGCCCGTGGGCAGGATGTGGCCCACTAGGCCATTCTATCTGGCCCACGAGGACCCTAAAAACATTTAGAAAAGTAATATTTATCTGCTGCTGGCTGCCTGTCATGTGGCCCTCGATGGCTTGCCAAAACTCAATAAGTGGCCCTCCACCCGAAATAATTGCCCACCCCTGGTTTAGGTGGATGTGAGGCCTGAGTGGGCAAGGAGAGAGCAAGACGTGTATCCACTGCTATGGCACCTCCCAAGAATGCTTTTGCAGGATGAGGGAGATACCTTCCACCATCGGTTCCCAATGTGGTGCCCACAGGTGCCATGGTGCCCCCCAAGGTTTATTCAGGTGCCCGTGAGCATTTTCAGGATCAGTAAAAATCATTATTCCAACAAAAACTGCTGTCACTGCTGATTGAACTCAGGCTGTACGCAATGGCCACCCAAATGAGACTGAGTCAGTCCGACTGACGCAGTGATGGAGTGGCCTTTACTACTCCCTCCCCAAATGAAACTATGCGCATGCGTACATCCAGGAGTCTAAATTCTAAACTTTAATATTCATATTTGCCCACTGTTTTTTCTTTTAAATTTGAATGTGCCCTTGGGCACATAAGCATTGGGAGCCCCCACCTTCCACTATCCCATTTCTACGCTTTTGCCCAGCTCTTGGTTAAGTTTCTCTATCTGGTTTCTGCACACAGGACCTTCTCTATTATGCCAATTAGCAGGGTTGTACTGGGATAATAATACTTATCACTTGCATAGTATTTTACATCTCTTTTTTAAAGTCTGAGCGGATATTAATGAATCCTCCTAACAGCCCTGTGAAGCATGACAATAAATGTTGTGATCCCTATTGTAGAGATTAGGGAACTGAAGCAAAGATTTTTCCAGGACCAGCCAGCAAGTAAATAAGCATAGCTGAGACTAAAACTCAGGAGTCGCTCGTGCCCTTCCCCTGCTGCCTCTAATCCACCAATGAACTGAACCAAAATGTCATTGAAAAATCTGATCTTTCAGCCCTTCCTGTGCTCTTGCTTGGTTCATCTGCTCCACTGTTTAAAACAACACAAAATATGTATTAGGTGACACGGATGATCTTGGAAAAAGCCACAGCTCCTCATCTTTCACATCGGCATTGTTTTAGCTAGCTGCGATGTAGGTCATTCTACAGGTCATCTGTCTTGCTGTCACAGCTCAGAGTTCAGCTAGTCACGGAACGGACTTACGTGATCTGGCAGGACTTGGAAAGGTCTGTCACTTCAATTAGGATTCCCAGCTTGGCTGCCCATCGCAGAGATAATCTGGTTACTTACCTGAAGCAAGCCCCATGTCTGCTGAGTCTCAGTGTGCACTGACCCCCAGTGCCCCTGCCCCTGGGCTTCCATGCAC